TTTTTTTTTTTTTTACTTAAAATTGTTTTTATTTTTAGATTTATGTTTAAAGTATAATATATTTTTCTTCCATTAGTTTAACCAAAAAAAAATGGTGCATTTTATGATAATATTAATAAATTTATTGAATAATGAAATATCATATTTAGTACTATTAATTAACCAAACTCTACGATTAATAAATTAAATAGAAAATCATTAGGTTGAAAATCTAAAATAAAGTTAATCATGTTTTCCTTATGAAATTTTAAATGCTAAAGAAATATCTTTAATCTTGTTATCAAACGATCATCATTATTGTCATCACGATATAGTTTTCTAATGTATCTTTTTGCGTCACACTATTTGAAAAATTACTCAAATTTGATATAACTATCATTTGTAATTATCATTTTCAGTGTTCATTGGAAGCTAACCGACCATGTTTTAATGTTTCGTGCTATATTATTTTAATTATAGTGGTTCAAAATTCAATTATATTTGTAAGTATAGGATGTCATAATACTTTGATATGTATTTTCTCTTTGAATATAATGACATAAGAGGTAAATAAATATTTGAAAATAGTTTTAGAGTCGTAATTATTTCGAAAATGAAATTTACATGAAAAATATTAGAATTAATATCATCCTTGATAGAATAAAGGTATACATAACACATCTATCATATATATTGTCAACATCGGTTGATTGAAGGTACTCATCCGTATATATTGTCCAACATAAATTATTGTTGCATCTCCTAACATTGTCATGCATACATTATCATTTTCGTTCACGGATTTTTAAAATTATCCTAAATGTGAAAAAATAAATAAATCCAGTTTAATTGAGATATGAAATGATGATTCTTTCATATTTTATTTTTATCTTATTATTATTTTTCTCTCTTCGTCAATATTTTTATACAATTTATTTTTCTACTTTTTCGAAATGATTTGAAAATATCTAATTTATGAATAATTTATGAAATAAGATTAATTAATAACAACAAATTTAAACTAAATGTAATGTTATTTTATTTAATTTGATTTTAATTGTAACTATTTTCTAATAATTACACGTATTTTGAATCAAGAATTGAGATTGAATTTTAGTTATTTTATTTTATTTTTATAGTTACTCTATTTTTATTTATTTTACAATTAATTAAATGGTAGATTAATTTATGTAACGCATGTTATCATAAGTAGACATCTATACTATACATACTATTAACATGTAAACTTAAATCATATTACGACGAATTGTAAAATGATGATTGTTTGTAGGTTTTTAGCTGAGTACGGAATAAATCCCGACCTCAAGTCGTGTTTCTCGAGGAAAGTTGTTAGAAGAATTGTTCACTATCTAGTCGTAAATTCACATAATTGAATACAAAGTTCTAAACATGCTACTCGCTTGATGAGGGGATGATTAAGCTAATTTTTCACTAAAAATAAAAAAGCAATTGATTGGTCGGAAAAAGTGTGGATTTTGTATATTTATTAGCGTATTTATATATGTTTAATTTTATCGCACTTATATCTTTTTCGACTTATTTATTTAGTAGATGAATTTGAGTGCTATGATATTTTTATGTTTTATTTTTAGGATATTGGATCATTTTCGTGGGTCTTACATGAACAAATATAATGGTTGATTTGGTGGAAAAAGAATTGAACTCAAATAGCAATATGGTGAAGAGCTTGGTTGAATTGGAAATAAATTATGGGCAGGATGTTGTATGGCTGGACATGTCAGAAATTGATTAGAGTCCAATTAATTACATTTATAACCTTACTGGGCCTAATGGAGTTTCAAAGAGAGATAGGATTTTGGGGGCCGAAGACTTTTGCGTGGGAGATTTATTAAAGGCCCACTTTGTTTATTAAATTAAGAGACTTAAGCATCAGAAATTGGAGAGTCGAAGGAGATACCTAACGCACAGCAGCCACCAGAGGAGGGATTTATTTTACGCAGAAACAGAGAAAAGCAGTCGGCCGCGCAGAGGACATATATGCGAGAAACAGATACGAGGAAGTCAGATCAATCGCGGAGAGAAGTCGCACTCGCACATGAGAAAGATAACTTTATTTTTCTCTCTCTTTTTTTTTTATTTATTATGTTAGAGTATGTTTTTTATTTCTAGTTCCGAAAAAGTCGAACCCGACGATGTTTCGATTAATTTTCATGGTTGATGATTTTATTATCTTTTCGGAATTGTACCGTGTTATTTTGAATAATTAACCATGATGTGTCGAGTCTTATTTAGATTGATAACCTAGTCTAGGCTTTTCATATCTATAGCTGAATTAGACCTTCAATTCGTAATTGTTATTGTGTTTAATTTATAAAAGTCTACCGGAAGACGGTAATTATTGGGGTTAACACGGTCTATTTAAGTGAACGAACGCGGTTGAGTTCACTACTTAGTCTAGCCTATTTTTCTAATTCGTAAAGCGGCTAATTGTATTAAATCTTGAAAACGTTTTTCTGGACGTACAATAAGCCAGGTTTAATCATAGAGCGTCTCGCGGTTAAATTAAAAATAAGGAAAAATTCGATTAACAGACTGTGTCGTTGCTTAGGGCTAGTAATTTCATAAGATAACGAGATTTGATACCAGAATCGATTAGATGAGTCAGGTTGAGGGTGTAGACGGAACCATGAACTAGATTTTCTCTTTATTTGTTCTATTTCATGTTATTGTTTAGATATTATTTATTTAATTACGATCTTAGCTTTTAGTCCAATC